TCCGATTGTTGTCGTAGGTTTCATCTCGCCGCCAAACGCCGTCACCGTGTGCTTTCGTCACCGCCAGTCACCACCCGTCGCCTTCGCCCCTCGGGTTGTCGTGGGGTAGCACTTAGGGTTTCTGGTTTCAGAAAACACCTGATTCGGTTCAAGTGGTCCAGTTCAACTGGTTTGGTTCATCCGGTTCAAGTTCGGTTCGGTCTGGTTCGTCACATTCCGGTTCGGTTTGGTTGATTTATACCGGTTTTGGTTAGATTTGGTTTGGTCTGGTTTTGTCGTTTTGTTCAAATAAGTTTGTTTGTTTATTATGGCCGAGAAGAAATCAATCGTAACTTCTGAGGTGATCCCAATGATATCAAAAAAAAAAATCACAAAACACAAGTTGAATAGATTATTTGTCTAACAAGTTGGGCATGATTAACATATATGCACCAACTTGAGGGGTAGTGTTAGAGTATATATTAGTATATTTTATATTTTGGTGTTAATATTAATTTGTCCTTCACCTTCTCCTTATAGGATTAGGTCAACCTTGTATATTTGTCTATATATATAGACTTTAATAATGAAAATACAGAACATTGGATTCTCTCCAACCTTAGTCTCTACAGGAGTGTTGCACTTCCACCCATTAATATCAGAATTATGAATGGACATAATAACGCTTCTCCAGAGGGCAACTTTCTCTTGAGTAAACCTCCATAGCCATTTCATCAGGAGAGCCTTGTTTCTTTGTCTTGGGGATCCTACCCCTAAACCTCCATATTTTGTGGGGGAAAGAGGTATGATTCCAATTCACCAAGTGGCTACCGCAGTTTATAACTATCATCACTCCAAATAAAATCTCTTATTATCTTCTCCATATAATAACCTTCTGGGGCTTTTAGAAAAGAGAACCATAGATTAGTAGGCTATTAAGAACTGGTTGGCCAAACGTCAGAAATTATAATATTTGTAAACCTAAATTATGGAAGAACTTGTTAATTACAACTACTATATCTTGACAGTTATGTATAATAGGGAACGATAAGTAGCAAAGGAGAGATCATATGATCCATGAAGTCCTTGAGGACTACTAAGTGCACCAAATAAGTGTTTGTATAATGCTTAATTTGACTGGTTAATGCTTGCTTTGACAAGTGAATGATATTTTCTCAGGTCAACATCATTGTTGCAACCTCAATTCTAGAAGAGGGCTTGGACGTTCAAAGTTGCAATTTGGTTATAAGATTTGACCCATCATCCACAGTATGTAGTTTCATACAATCTAGAGGCCGTGCGAGGATGCAGAATTCAGAGTATATCTTGATGGTAAAGAGGTAAATTGGATCCTAAATGTTGTACACATGTTTCCCCGCAGTTTTATTTTTACCTTTCCCATCAGGGATAATTACTTTTCAAAGTTTTCTTTTTGAATTACTTTAGATTATGTTTTGGTCTTGAATTTGTGGACAATTAATTGGTTTACTTGTATGCAGGGGGGATTATGCCACTCTCGCTCGACTTCAAAGATATCTTTCTAGTGGGGAAATTATGAGAAATGAATCTTTATGCCATGCTTCTCTTCCCTGCTTACCTTTTAGAAGTGATTATGACGAGGAATCCTATTGTGTTGAAAGCACGGGTGCAATTGTGACTCTAAGTTCCAGTGTTTGCTTGATATACTTTTATTGTTCTCGCCTTCCTTCTGATTGGTTAGTTGTTTTATATTATAGTTCATTGTTTGAGGAAAATGATATTGCATTTTCACTTTTAAATTAAAAGGGAATATGACATGTTTCTTTATTATTGTCTCTTTCCTCATCTTCCTGCTTTTTACCCCCTTACTTTGTAGTTATTTCAAGCCAACACCAAGATGGGATGAGGAGACTTGCACCTTGCATCTTCCTAAGAGCTCTCCTTTACAGACCTTTACCAGTAAAGATGATGCTAAATATCCCAAGCAAAGTGCCTGTTTAGAAGCTTGCAAACAACTTCATAAGTATGGTGCTTTGACAGATAATCTTGTCCCAGATATGGTTGCTGAAGAAGCTGTGGCTCAACGAAATGGTATTTATTCCTTATCAATTTTCAATTTTAGCTGCCTCAATAACAGCATTGGTTATAATTCACCGATTTCAACTAATTTTGTCACAAATTGTTCAGGCAATAGATCAATTGTCGTTGATAAACAACCAGTTTATGTTCCACCAGAATTTGTGCATTGTTGTCCCGATAAGTCTAGTGTAATGTACCATTGCTACCTGATTGAATTAAAGCAGAACTTCAAATATGATACGTCAGTACATAACATTGTGCTAGCCATGAGAACTGAGCTTGAATCTGAAATCCAAAGCATGTGTTATGACTTGGACACTGACCGAGGAAGCTTTGACGTGAACTTCAAATATGTTGGCATTATTAAGCTTAGCCCCGACCAGGTAGCTTCCTTTATTTTTCAAGCTTTCGATTCATTTAGACATTTACAAATTAACTAATGAGTCAACTTATTTTTTGTTAACCTCTTTTCCAGGTTCTTTTATGTAGAAAGTTCCAAGTTACAATATTCAGAGTTTTGTTAAACCATAATTGGAGCAAGTTGAATGAAGATGCCGAGATTTTGTTGGGAGATGGCCCTAAGGTTGATTATCTTCTGCTCCCTTCAACTGGTGTTGAACTGATTAGCTGGGACACTGTCCTGTCTGTACTGGCTTCATCTAGAGAATATTGTGTACATCGTGGTATTCCATCATCCGAGGGCCTTAGTTGTGATGTACAGACCAAAAATGGACTTGTTTGCCTTTGTAGACTCGTGAATTCTTTGGTGTATACTCCTCACAATGGTAATGTATATTGCATAACCAATGTTTTGAGTGAACTGGATGGAACTTCATTACTCAAGATTCGAAAAAATGAAATGATGCCTTACAAGGAGTATTATAAAGTGCGGTAAGTGTTCTACTTTTACTTTGATAGTTGTTTTTATTTTGTTCTTAGATTTTAAAAAGTTTCCACCATATTCTCGAACTTTAAAATGTAATTTTGTTTAGTCCTTGCTATTAATTGATTGTTAATGTGCCATGCCTAAGTGGAAAAATATTTTTTGATTTGGTATGACGTGAAATAAAGATAAAAGAAGGAAATGAATAATCCGATAAAATTAAGTAGCACATGCAACATACTCTAAATAACTCATCCATTGTATAGACCATGACTCTTTATTTTGCTTAGTTATCTACTTCTTTCTTTCATTTACTTTATACATCATGCTAAATCTACCTACATTTTTCTAACAAGAGCATTACATCAATATTTAATTAGTATTAATGATAGGGAGTATAGTGAATCACAATTCAAAATTATAACTTTTTAAATTTTAGAGATTGACACAACCAGTAAAGTTCTAGAGACTCCAAAATGGTTGATTAGAGTATTTTTGTTGTTGTCATGTTCCAATGGTTTTTTCTTCTAATTATTTTTTGTTTAATTTGCAGTCACGGGATTGACTTGCATTTTGAGAAACAATCATTACTTCAGGGGAGAAAAGTCTTTTCGGTGCACAACTACATTAATAGATCTAGGCGACAAAAGGGGAGAGGTAACTTTTATTTCTTTCTTCCACTTGCAAACCCCCACATTGTATAATGTTTTCATATATTTAATGTAATAGGAACCAGCAAAAGGTTTTATCAAAACAATGAAGAATTTCAATTTAGGAAAATCCAATTTCCAGATAGGGTTCTTCAAGAAACACTATTTGGGGAATTTTATCCTTTTGTTCAGGAGAATTCTCAATCGCCTTTCTTCCCATCGATGCTATGCTTCTACCCCATATCCATGCTTGAACTTTTCCCACCTGAGCAATATATTTCGGTCCTCCACCTCTAAGCAATACCCATGACTTCTCCCAGCTCAATTAGTTTATTAAGCATCTTCATCATTCTCAACTATGATCTTTAGCAGCAACTACATACAAAAGCTCTGTCCAACATGTCCTCAACACCCTCTTTTGACTACCAATCCAATGGAACCTTGTCATTCCCATTCCTTCCATATCAATGGTCACAGCTTCCAATTTCTCCCTCTTAGCCACTTTATTCTTTGCAAAAAAATCTCATGCGTTTGGGTCTGTTCCCACAAAGCCAAGTAAGTTCAACTCTCTTTCAGCATCTGGCCTCAGTCTTCCCACTCATATGATTCTCCCTAGAGTTCGCTTGGAATTTGTCTTCTATCTTTCTTTTCATTGGAGTATCGGTTTCTGCTCTTTTCAAATTGTTAGTGCCTTATAAGGTTCCAAACAACTGATTGGACATTCTTTGCCAGTGTTGGAATTCTTCACGCGTCAACTTGCATTGTTTGAACTCTTGCTGCATTTCTTCCAGTCATGACTCCACCACGTTTTCCACTTCTGCCTCTATTTTTTGTTATATAATGTTTACTTGTATAATGTATGATTGAATTAATTTTCTGTCCAAATTAATTAGAATGCATGTGCAATACAGACATGCTCAAACTTTTGATTCACCATCAGCTTTGGCGTTTCTTTTATTCTATTTTTTATTTTTTATTTTAATTAAACTCATTTGTTTAATCTTGAGATGTAAGGAAATAAAAGGTGATAGCTATTTGAGCTGTATTGAAGTTTATTGAGTTGACTCTCTTGATGTTTCTGACTGCCTAATTCCTTGACTTTTTCATATTCATGTTGTGTTTCGTATCTGTTTCTTTCCTCCTGTTTTTAGACATGCTTTTGTTGAACAAGCTGACAATTTATTAAGGGCTAAATGTATCGATTGTTCCATAATCTCTTAGCCCTACATATATGCTCAAAACTTTTTTTCTTTAATAGGAGAAATTTAGTCATTCTCAATTTTTTCTATTAAGAATTCTCAGTTCAGCTCTTCCAAACAAACAAACAAAAAATTGTTAAAATATGTTACTAGAAAACATATGTAGCATTGAGTTATTGATTTATTGACGTTTTTGGGCATGTGAGCATGCCACTTAGAAGAAATGAATTTCTTCCAATCGATGGATGAGTTTTTGATTTTGCTAATGGAGGAGTTGTGTTTCATGTGTCAAGCAGCATCCAAGTGGTATGTCCTCGTGTTCAAGCATGTTAATGAAGCAATAATTTAATAATTCATCAACTTTTTGCTAACAAAACTTTGCCACTTTTTTAAACAAGGATCTAATTAAGAATATTTAGTGCATTGAGGACAAATTTGAAATTTTAAACGATTAAGAACAAAATTGAGAATTGCTTGAAAGAATAGGGATCATTTGCTATATTTAGCCTTTGTTAATTGATAATGAAGAGTATTAATTGATCAATACACTACCGTATGAAAATTGTTCTTTGATTTAAGGCATGGTATAATATAATAAAACTTGAGGAACTTATATTTATAATGTTGAATCTTTATTCTTCCATATCTTCTACTTTGGTACTATATTTGTTATTTTATCTATCTTCTTTTTGCAGAATCGAGTAATGCATTAGTTGAACTGCCTCCTGAGCTTTGCTCTGTAATAATGTCTCCCATATCCATCAACACTTTTTATTCATATTCTTTTCTTCCTTCAATTATGCATCGAGTTGAATCGATGCTAATTGCAAGCAACTTGAAAAAGTTGAATACGGATCATTGCATGCAAAATGGTATTCCAACCATGAAGGTAATTTTCTTTTATGAATACTATTAGTAATGATTTTTTTGCCTATGACAAGATTAATGTCTCAAGCAGTTTTGGTTAGTGAGGTACATGGAAATGGAGAGTCATTCATATTTTCCTCTTTCAGTTAGTATTAAACTAAAATGAAACTTTTCCATATTTTTCCTTTTTTGAAGATAGGATTTATGCATCTAGAGACTAGGAGGCCCAAATTATAATAGAAGTATCTCTACGATTCCTGTAACATTTGATGTCACCCATACTGCAAGTAATGTTTCTCTCTCAATGTTTAATAGCATACTCATTTCTTTCAACATTTCTCTCTAACAGGTATTGGAAGCAATAACAACAAAAAGTTGCCACGAGAAATTTCACCTGGAATCTCTCGAGACTCTTGGCGATTCATTTCTTAAATATGCTACTGGTCAACATCTTTTTAAATCTTTTCAGAATGAACATGAGGGCCTTCTTAGTTTAAAGAAGGATAGAATAGTTTCTAATGCTGCTCTCTGTAGGCTTGGATGCGAACACAAAATTTCGGTAATTTCTTCACAAATCATTATTATTTATTTATTTTTCACAAATTCACAAATCATTATTAACTACTCTACAAATACTTATTTTTGTCAGTATGAAGCGTAATATTCCTAATACCTTCCATTAGTAATTTCAAGATTTAGACAGTTTCAAAAATAAAATTATTGTAAAAGTTTTAAGCTCGTTTGTTGCATATGCTTTTTCTTCTCAATTGCAATCTAATCCAATTTATATTATTTGATTATATGTTGAATAAATGCATGTTCTGTCTATATTTTGTACTTTATTTCAATATTTTCTATCTTTTTCTTTTGTCTCGTGTATTTTAAATGTTCTCAGGAAGTTTTGACGTTCCCTTTGATTATTTCAGACAAGCATACGTGTTAGCATGGAACTACGATTCTCTAAGTTTGATTCTTGTATTTTCATCTTGACGGCCCATGGATTCTTTTCTGTTAATTTCGAACATCCCTAGTGGTTATTGTGATTACTGATTAGCACTAAATCTAAGTAGTGATATTCAATTGTTATTCATTATTTTACTCTCCTTAAAGGTTTTCTCCTTTGTGTAAGTTTCCTCAAGTACCAAGCTTATTAAATTTTGTTCTCAATTTTTCTAACCATGTTTTAGGGCTTTATGCGGGATGAGGCTTTTGATCCTCAAAAGTGGGTTATTCCTGGTGATACACATGGAGTTGACCAATTAAGAGAAGAAATGCTTTCTAGTGAGAGAAAAATTTATGTTATAAGAAAAAGAAAGGTAAAAGGTAAGAGGATAGCTGATGTTGTGGAGGCTCTAATTGGCGCATATCTGAGCTCTGGTGGGGAAATGGCTGCCATACAATTTCTAAATTGGATTGGTATAGAAGTTAATTTTGATACTGTACCTTATGAGAGGCCTTTTAGAGTTGATGCATATAAACTCATCAATGTCAGACATTTAGAGTCCCTACTGAGATACACATTCAACGACCCCTCATTGTTGTTAGAAGCACTGACTCATGGTTCATACATGCTTCCTGAGATTCCAAGATGCTATCAGGTAACCTTATTGCATGCACACAACATACATTCAAATATGTGTACTTTGTATGAGTTTCTTCATATTTATTAAGTATTTACTAACTCGTAAATAATGAAATCATTGGCCTGTAGCGCTTAGAGTTTCTTGGAGATTCTGTGTTAGATTATGTCATCACTGTGCATTTGTACTACAAACATCCTGGGATGTCACCAGGAATGTTGACTGACATGAGGTCTGCAGCAGTGAGTAATGATTGCTACGCGCGAATTGCAGTAAAGGCCGAGTTGCACAAAAGTATCCTACATTTGTCTCATGAACTCCACAGACATATTAATCGGACTCTTAAAGATTTTGAGCTGTTGTCTTCAGAAGTGACGTTTGGATGGGAGTCTGAGACTTCTTTTCCTAAGGTTAGTACTTAAGAGTCAATTTAATTACACGTAATGGACAAGGTTTGTATTTTACTACCCTTTGTCAAAATATCAACTCTTGTTTTATTTGCCCGATACATTTAATTTTTTTTAACTCTTTTTTTGTTTCTTTTTTCCACTCCTTTTATAATAAACAATTCAGTAATCAAAATATAGGAAGATAGAAAAGTGAGGGAGAGAAAAGCTACTTCTCAACCCTGAACCTAAAAAGGGGATTAGGAAAAGGCTCTTGTAATGGGCATGAATCAGAAAAGGGTAGCTCCTAATTGGTCTCTGTATATGGCATGGATAAAAAAGGGGTAGCGGCAAAAGAATTTATTCCCATCCACTTTGCCCTTCCCCCAACTTTAGAGCATGTTTGATTATTATATTTGAGATGGTTTGAATGTTCATATTAGGTTCTTGGAGACGTTATCGAGTCTTTAGCTGGAGCAATATACGTTGACTCTGGATACAACAAAGACAAGGTGTTTGAGAGTCTAAGACCACTGTTAGAGCCATTAGTGACGCCTGAAACCGTGACATTGCACCCAAGAAGAGAGTTGAATGAGTTGTGCCAAAAGGAGAAGTATACTTTGAAAAAAACCGTTAACTCTCGTATCAATGGCAGATCACACGTTACAGTGGAGGTCGAAGCTGATGGTCGGATATTCAAACATACGGTAGTTTCTTCGGACAAGGAGACTGGAAAGAAGGTTGCTTCCAAAGAAGTTCTCAAGTCTCTGAAGGAGTCCATGGTACATATTTAACTCCCAATGCTGTTGTTTATTGGCCTCTTATATTTGGTAAAAGGAAGGAAAATATTTGGTCATCAACATTGATGTTTCCTCCTATAATAGAGTTTATGTTTTTTCCTTGTATTTCAATATTGTAAGAACTATGTAAAAAAAAAAAAAATATTTGAAAAATGCAAGTGTAAAGTTTGTTCACAGGTGAAATGTGTAATACATTTGGAGTTAATATTTTATATTACTTTTAAATTTGGATACCCTCACTTTCAAGTTTTTTATGCTACTTGGTTGTGCATCAAACTTCTAAAATCATTTATAGCATTTTGAAGAAATATTAACTCTTTTACCCCTTCCTTTCTAAGTTGTATCAGTGGACAGTTTTTTCATAGCAATGTTTTTAGGTGGAATCTGCGATGAAAGTGAGCATTTTGAATTTAGCCCCTTCTAATTTCTTGAGTTTTATTTATACATAATAAAAAATATTAGTATATTTGGTCATGGAACATTCTAAATCTTGAATGAAAATTGCAAAAATTACCCAATTGTGATGGCTGTGGTTAGAATGCAAGAGAATGGAGGGGTGCTACAGTTCACTCATCTATTTTTTTTTTTTTTTCTGAACTTTTACCAGTTTAGTAATTATTATGTCACATCAGTTTATTATTAACCAACTTTAACATTTAGGAGGAGAGTATAATTGAAAAATATTAAAATGTGAGGACTAAATCAAAACTTTTTATAATAATAGAGAATAAATTGAAAATCGTTATGGATTGAGACATTTAAGTTTTTTTGGATCACCTACAAGCTCACAAAATTCAGCTATCACTCCTGTTTGCGGCCCTACAAAAATGAACTAAGGAATTGAACCAAAATGATTCAATCAATTGGGTTTGGTTTGGTTATGGAAGAAAAATTAAGGTTGGATAAAATAATAAAGAAAAAAGAAATATTTTTTAATTGGAGAGAGAAGATCGTATAAAGTGAGAAAGAAGAAGATTTGGAAAGGGACAACTTGTAATTCTACGCGAGCAAAAGTGTAAAAAATATAAAATTTAAAAAGCGAGAAAAGGTTAATCAATCTGATAACTCAAAGTTTATTTATTGAAATTTAGAAAATGGTTTAATAATTCTTGAACTCATTTGAGTTGAAGCGAATTTTGACCTTCTTCTAACTCCATACTCGTCGTTGACGGTGATATTTTCATCTTCAGATACCACTCCTCCTTATGCGTCTTATGTAATTTATTGCTTCATCTATTTGATAAAATAACATATTCACTGGCACCTCCTATATTAAAATACTATATATATATGCAACAATAATATTTCAACGTTAATTCGAGAGTCAAATTACCAACTTAAATATAACTCGAGACATATATTCTTATTCAATCAAAAGGCGAGAGATTCCAATTCCCACCATACATGTTGAACTGAAAAAAAAACAAAAAATAACTTTTAAATTTGTGAAAGAAAGAAGAAAAATATGGGATTTAATTCTATCCATTCTTCCAAAAGTCTATTTTGATCTCTTTATTTTTATTTTTATCTTATCTATTTTAATCGTAATTTTCACACGACATTTTATTCTTAAAATTTTTGAAATGTAGCCATAAATTTATATTAAAATTAAAAACAAGAAAATAGAAAACAAATTAAAATTAAGCCGAAATGATAGCGACCGAAACTTGTAATTAACTGAGCCCTAAGGGCCACTATCAAACAAGTTATTCCATCTCGTTCTTCCCCAACAAAACGCCTGTGCTGTGTGCTGTGTGCTGTGTGCTCTGCTACTGCTACCTCAAATTTGGCTTAAAAAATGGCTTCCGCTTCCATCCCTCTCCATCTCCTCAATCTCTCCGCCAGAACCGCCATTAAAGCCGCCGCCGTCAAATCCCGGCACCGTTCTTCTCTCCCCGCAAGATCCGCCTCCGTTCGCATGTCCTACAACCCTACTCCGGCGACCGACCGCCTCGTCTCCGCCGTCGCCTACACTCTCCCCTTCTTCAACTCCCTCCAGTACGGGCGCTTCCTGTTCGCCCAGCACCCGGCCCTCGGCGTCGCCTTCCAGCCCCTCCTCCCCGTTCTAGGGCTCTACCGCTCCATCCCCCACTCCACCTTCGTCGCCTTCTTCGCCCTCTACTTGGGCGTCGTCCGCAACCCTGCCTTCTCCCACTACGTCCGTTTCAATTCGATGCAGGCCGTCACTCTCGACGTCCTCCTCGTGGTGCCATTGCTGATCCAGAGGATCCTCAGCCCGGGTCGGGCCGGAATCGGGTTCCAGATCATGGTCTGGGGCCACAACGGACTGTTTGTTTTCAGCGTTTTGTGCTTCGTTTACAGTCTGGTTTCTTGCCTTCTCGGACGGACCCCTCACTTGCCCCTTGTTGCTGATGCTGCTGCCAGGCAGATTTAGGTTTGTTCTTCTTCTGCAACTTTCTCCTTCTCCCCCTCCCGTTTCTTGGATTGAAATCTAGGGTTTTGATTTTCGTCCAAACAATTTAGGCTGGCCTATACACCACCTTTAGAAAATGTTGTGTATGAGAGGTAAATTGAAAATTGTACTCTGATTATGCATTTTTTGGTTATAAGTAGTAGAGGAAGGATGAGATGACATTGAAGAGAGCAATGGGGATGGAGAATTATCAAGTGAAAGAGAATGTGGGATTTCTTTTCTTTTGCCAAATGCAGATTGGACATGGTTTACAAAGAATGGAAGATCTAGAAACAACTTTGTTCTATGAATCAATGTTTAAGTTGAACTTAGAGCAATAGCCATTGAATTTGTGAAGGAATGAAGGTAGCAAGAGTTTAGATCCCTAGTTATGAAGAGTTTAGTCTAATGAAAATCATATATGACCAACTTCGAATGCTTTGTTGGTACAGCATAGCTTAATTGGAATAGGAACCATTAAAAGCATGAGTAACATTTTTGGGGAAAATGACTCAAATTACCTCCTAGAAAAAAAAATTTCTCGGACAACCCACCACTCAAAATTAATGAATTTAAGAATAACTGAAATTACATTTATGCTCTTTAAATCAAAAAACAACCGTGGTGCCCTTCCCTTCAACTTCTTTCCCCTTCTTTCTCTTCTCCTTCCTTGGTACGCTTCAACTACTTCTTCTTCCTTTTTCGTTTTCTTCAGTTTTCAGTTCTCTTCTTTCTTCCCATTTCGTTTTTGCCTATTTTGGTTCCCTTCAAGCTTGGCTTTTTGCATCTCATCTGTGAAATGAGGTAACAATTTACTCTTGTTCAGGTTTTGAAAAATGGAAATGATACAAACTCATCCCCCAAATAGTTTGCCATGTCTAGGAAAATTATTTTTGGCCATCTTCTTGACGTGGACCTCGTATTTCAGAGTTGTTGATATACAATATCTTGCTTATGGAGGTTGAGGATAATACACCGAATGCAAAATCACTCATTGATAATATTTGGCAAATTAAAAAATTGATTTTAGGAAAACATAAAATCGCTTATTGATTTTTAAAGTATCATTTTGATTTAGAAAATCAATTATTGTATTTTTTTTTTTAAATCTCTCTTTCTACCATTTGTCTAAAATTTAGAGCTGGCTTTTTGACTTACATTTAAATCTTAAATGTCTTCAAATTTATGCTTGTCATTGGCTGCATATTGAAAATTTCTACACGTCATCTTTGGTTCCATATCCGTTTAAATTGTAAGTAAAAAATTCTTTAATTTATAATAATTACAACTTTTATTGGTACAAGATTTCTTCGGTGTAATTTTAAGGCCAATTAAATAATATCATATCATTGTGGAGATATAAGATGTGTTAGAGAAATATGTAGAGAAAACTTAAGAATACACAAAATTAAAAAATTGAACTCAACGACAGCGTTATTCCTTGAGACAAACGACAAYGTGTTTCCTTAAGACAAACGACAACATGTTTCCTTAAGATAATTTTATTTCTTCTATGCTCAAGGTTTCACCAACAATTGTCTCATGTACTCGTATAAAAAATGAAAGAGAGAATTTTGAGGGATCGGTTTTTTTGTTTCCCAAAACTGAAAAGAACCAATAGCTATTTCTGGTCACTCAAATAGACATATATTTTCATGTAAAGTTATGTTGTTTGATACTTTACAAAATCACATCATTTTATGAAGAGTTGTAATTTTTTATTTTTTAATAAAATAATTTTATTCAAAAGTTACACCAATCTTCCTTATGAATAAAATTTATTTTTAAAACGTGTACAAACTTTAAACTTTTTTCAGTAAAACTATGGAGCTTATCAGTAGTTAAAGAATTTTGAATGATCCAACTTTTTAAGAGCAAGTCAAATTCATAATAATTCCATAGATATATTTAAAATACTAATGGTTCTCATGTTTGTATTCATTTTGATCCAGAATATCGTTTGGTTTCATGAGTATTTTTATAGAATTCGACCTTAAAAATTCTCATAGAAGCGACTCCTTTACACATACATAGGTGACTTCTTTAAAGAGTATCTTGACAATACACCACTCTAATGGAAATGGTTAGGAATTTATAATTCTTTCTTAGTGCTCTTTGTATTATTTTATTTATTATATCTTGTCTTATAATTTTTTTTAATAAAATTTAATAAAGATTTTGTTACAAATTCCAAAAAAGTTCGTTATAATCCRATCCAACAACAGGGATTCTTAGTAAAACTAGAGATCCTCTAGAGATGTAGAAAGATGCAAGACTCTATGCCGATATTTGCTATAGTTGAATTATATATACACATGTAATGTAAGAAGGGAGCATGAAATTAATTTTATTTCCCTTTCCAAATTTTTCGGAAGAAAAAAAGTTGTATATATAAATTTGTTTTTCCTTTTTGAATCTAGATCTTGGGATCTCCACTGAGTTAGGTTGAGTTACCATGATGTTAACTATTATATTATAGGCTTCAAACTTATTCCTATTGAAGATAATTTCACTTGCTCTCTTGCCAAAGCTTTTGTAAACATATTCACAATATATCTTTTGATTTCACATCATCAATTCATATAATTCCATTCGAGAGCAATATATCTTCGACGTATATGTCAAAACTTACCATTTTTGCATTAAAAGTTGCACTTGATTTCATATTACATTGAGTATGATAGTTCACCTTTGGATTTTGAATCATCAGTATAAAAAATCCATTTTTCATCACTGTATCCTCCAAGTACGAGTGCAACCCATCATTTTGAATATTTAAATATCTGTATTATCGTCACTTGCCAATATAACTACAAACACAAAAGGAATATTTCTAGATTTCACGTCTAATTTAATTAAAATTTTGAACTATGAGAATCTGCTTCCGGAATTTTTATAAACCAATTAGTAGGATTCACATTTTACCCAATCTTCRGTTTCTAGCCCGAAGCCAATAACTGAGACAACCTGTAACGCCCCATAACGTTCTACACGCTTCTAGGTCACGTTAACTACCCACCTGTCTAACCTTATCTCTAAATACGAGATAACTAACTCCCTGTGAAATAATTATATAAAATAAAGCTTCAACTCCCATCAATTTACCAAAGAATCAATCCTATAGATYATCAATCAATCATCATCCGTGGACAACTCCATGAAGCAATTTCATTATTCCAACTAGGCAAACTCAATGAACAGAAGAAACTAAAATAAACACCTATTCCAAATTAAAGTAGACAACAAGTGGGACACCTCCCAATTAATCAGATAGGAACAAGTAGTTTGTTGTCCAAGCAATAAAGTTTAAACCATCTAAACCTAAGCTAAGCAAAAGTAACTACGCAGCCTATGGTTCTCGCTCGTCATGTCTCCTCCGCTTCATCACCATGGTCGGCAACGAATTCTCCGCCTGAACCAATAATTGCAGAGGGGGGGGTGAGTATATAAAATATACTCCGTAAGTAGCCCTCACCAACAACACACAAACATCATGCTAAAAAAAATCATGAAACATTCATAGTCATGCTCTTCATCACATTATGTAATCAAACATAGACACACTCTATAAAATCCGGCGATAACCACAACCATGAACGATTCAACTACCAACCTCTAGGCTCCCTAACATCTCAAGCACCTCTACGCTCATCACAACTATCCTAGCTTTCCAAAGCTAACTCTTTCGAGTAGTGTCGGCCCCTGACCATTTTTACCCAGAGCCCCGACACTACTGCATCGACCTTCGACCATTTTTATCCGAGGCCTCGATGACTTTGCAATCTATTGGCCCTTGACCATTTTTACCCAAGGCCCCAATAGTTTTCCTTTCAAAAGACTCCTCGCATCGACCTTTGACCATTTATACCCGAGGCCTCGACACTCATCTTTATCCAATATTAGTGTATCGACCCTCGACCGTTTTTACCCGAGGCCTCGATACCCAATTAGTGAGGTATCAGCCCTCGACCGTTTGTACCCGAGGCCTTGACACCCACCCATTCACTTTCCACAAGAATCCAACGTTCCTTATCATAACCAACTCCACAACAACCACTATCCTGCAAACAGGGTCCGAAAACATGCTTCTATTACACCCACATCTCATAAGAAAATAATATGATTCGGACCAGCACGCTCGCATCATAAAGAAACATTTATATAAGCTGTACTAGCACACCCACATCATAAGAAAGCATAATCGCAATAATTCCATTTTAACGAGCATCCTTTGTAAACACACATTATCCCACAACAATTTTCAGCAGTTTAACAAGGCAAAATTCCACCATTATCACCGACGAATATTCAACACTACACCAAGCATACAGATTAACACAAGCGAGAGTTACCTAGCACAATAGCGTATCAAGATCAATATTAAACATCACAAAACAGCACAATGGAAACCAACTAACACACATTAACGCACGCACACACCCCTTGTCTACTTACACACTCCTAATGCTCCTAGCTCAGTGTTTGCTCGACCCAGAAGTTTGCTGAAACGACTTGGGTCTTTGTTGGATCGATGTAGAATGGGTTCAGAACTGTAAAACTGGGTTTGAAAAGGCTCGAACTTGCTGGTGCTATACCGAAAATGGATGATTAACTCAAATCAAACTTCGTTTGAGTGTGGGTTGGCGCCGAATAGATGGTATCACGGAACTGAATTCGTTTAGTTGTGCGTCAACACCGACCGTCGCCGGTAGGCCGGAAAACGTCACCAAACACGATGCGTCTCACAAAATCGGGCGCGGGGTCACCGAATTCGGATTGCTGCGGGTCACGGTGGTTGTCGAAGTTCGTGGTTTGCTGCAGCCACCGAAGGTAACGCGCCACTGCTCGTGGAACCCGTGCGCCATTCGTCGGACTTACCGTTCGCGGAGGACCGCCGCGGCGTCGCACGCAAAA